AAGCTCAAGACCATGGCCAAGGCAGCTGCTCCCCACAGCATGGTACAGCTATCGTCCACAGTGAACAACGGAACACTCATGATGATGGTTACACACAAAGGAAATGCTTAGTCTCGATGAAATGCCATCTCACAGCTATATTTCAAATGAGAAGGAAGATGTACCTGGATACTTAGTAACCAAAGACAGCTAAGTTGCTCCACAGGAGCTCTGAAAGGAGTAAAAGCTAAACCTGTTGGTAAGAAACAGTAGGTCCAGAGGGCCACTGAAGACTGTTATGCTACAAGGCATTCAAATCGGGAAAGTGTGAGTCATGGAGGAGGGAGAAAAGGATTACAGGAGGAGCTATCTGCCATCCCTCACCAATGGAAAAATCTTACAAAGAAGCCTCTTCTGAACACAGAAAATGCACCAGGCGATCTCTCTGGTGTTATTGATTATGATGATAACAGGCTGCATCAGCAAGCATGTGGAACTGCCATTTTAAAACCTCACTGTAATGAAGCATTACTATCGCTAAAAAGGTCATTATTATACGATAAGATGGATACTGTTGGAAATGCAGCCCAAGATACAAGACACAAGCCTGAATGACACACTTCGTAACTGCACCAGCGCAGGTAATACTGACGTCTATTCTAGGCTCTCACCGAGAACAGAGATGCAGGCCTGATTTCAAAGGATGATGGAGGAGCACAGTCAGGGTCATCTCAAACATCTTTTCTAGTCAGGCATGATGGCGCACCCCTGGATCCCAGCACTGGAGGCTGAAAACAATTTTTTTAAAAATCTTTTCTACAGCTATCTCCTGACTTTTATGGGGCTTAGTCATATCACCCCACAATTACAGGAGTTTATTTTTCCCCTCTGTCCTTATCTTTCTGTTTGTTTTATCTCCTAAAGAAACTCCTAAGTTTCTAACAAAGGACTAACTTTTTACATGTACAGACTATTAGGAGAAGCTAACTTTATCAGTGGAGTAACCCTTACTGAAATAAAACCAAAAAAATCAGATCTGAAGATTGTTACGCTTATGTTTTTGTTGCCAAGGAACCATGTGTGGTCCACCAGGACTGTATGTAGCTCTATTCCTTAGAACTTTTTTTAACTACAAAGGTTTACTGAAATTCCACGTACCTTAACATCATTGTTACCATTAATCGATACAATTATATGAATTTGGTTCTCCTGAGGACATCCAGAATTTAATTTATATCTCATGTATTTCAAAAATTCATTTGCGTATCTTTTTCCAAAAACAAATACTTGTGCCTTTATCTTAGATGCTATAAAGGTCCAAACAGTAAATACTTCAGGCTTTGCAGGCCACACAATTTCTGTCATAACTATTCAACTCTGTCTTTAAAGTGCAAAAAACAGCCGTATGTAATAAGTGAATATGCAAAGCTGCGCTCCAATAATACTTTATTATAAAACTCTGTTCTGCAACATACACCCAAAGGCTGGGTTTCCTCAGACATGCCTTTGATGGTCTCACTATTTCATCTTAAAAGATAATTTACTTAAAACATGCTACTGTTACTTAACCAATGCTACTGCCCAAGTTGTTGACTGAAATTTTTTTAAGAGAACCTAAGAAAATCAAGCTGTGAAAAAAGCAGCAGAATGAAAGAGGAGCCAAGCCATAAACACTGTGATTTCCAGACCCATCTCCCTTCGCTAACAAGGAAGGTGCTAAATGCACCTTCTGCCCCTCTAAGCCTGTGAACTACTTGAGAACCAGGATCTTTATTTATCTCGGTACAATGAAAAGCTGTCTTACCTGCTCATACCCTCTCTGAGAGCCCCTACCCCAACCACAAATAAGCTGTTTACCCAACAGCTTTTTTTAGATTAAAGGAAACAGCCATGAGTAGAATGATGGGGGAAATACAACTACAATATGATGATTCTATGATTCCATTTAAAATAATGTGCCATGAACTACGGAACAGTTCTCTGTACAATTTAAATACTGAACTAAAGAACTCAACAATATCAAGTTACAACAGCTAAACAAAACATAGGCGTGTTCGATGCACACCGGTCACCATGAGTTCCACTCCAGACAGCTCCTGTCATCATGACACTCACTTCCATCACTGCCATTACACGCTCCTTTTCTTTTATTCTCCATCTACACCAAGTATTTTTCATGTGTCTCAACTGGGCTGTCTTGTGTGGGATTTGTTTAGTTTACCCGCAGAAGTTTACAACATTCTCTCATGTCTTCATGCTACAGAAGCACTGAAAATGTCAGCTACATTCAAGAGCTGCTAAATGCTCCCTCACAGACTGCAGAAAGTCCACTGAAAACAAAAACATACAAGGCTTTATAGGTCCTCCCACAACAAAAAGTCCCATCTCAAAGCCTGTAAGTTATGAGGTTGCTTTAAAACTGCACGTTTACAAACCATTGGATTTTGTTCATTGCATTTTAATAACTAAAGTTACTCAAATCTGAAGTCTAAAGTCAATGTTCCCTTGAAGCAGTGGCAAACAATACTGGTTTTCAAATGAAAGCAATAAATTGATAAGCACAGCAAACCAAAGTCCATCAACCCCATCTTTGCAGACAATGCTTAGATGATTTTATTATCAAATACAGAGGCTAGTGCAGAAATTGTTATGACAATTATTCTGAAAATGACCCCAAATATGCAGCTTCTCTTAATTATACACAAATGAAGAAAGGAATGAAGAGGTAATTGATCCAAAGGGGTGCTTTGGAAGTTTTTTTAAAACAAAATTATTTTGGAGCAATCAGACATGCAACTTCTCAGCCCAGGATCTGGGTGGTCTCTCGGCTTAGTCTTCCTCCCAGAGGCCTGAACATTTTTGCACAATACCACAGGAAAGAGACCACAGAGGAGGCACAAAACGGATCGGGGGCAATGTGCAGCTGACAGAGCCCTGACTAACACATTCCCACAACATGGGAACTGACTGCACACCTGCTGTTCTAAAACTGATGTGGGGAATAAAGCATGCAGCAGCCCTTGCTCTGGCCTTGTAAGTTTGGAAAAGCAATTTAAATTCTCTGGGATCCAAGTTTGGTCAAGTATGAAACCCAGCAGTGTATACTCTGCCTCATCCGTCCCACTGAAAATTCCACACAATGAGTTTAATAAGCAAGGCACCATTTAATATGACGTATATTTTGAAACTGGTAACAAGACAAGGCTGCTGCTAAAATATGAAGTAGTCCTGTTGATGGCATAACCTTAAAACACCAAGCTGCCATACATGTTTTCAGAGGCCTAGGGCCGTTTGCCCACACCCTTTTACCACTGATCGCTTCCTACATGCTCCACTTGCCACAGGGCCCTTCCCAGACCTTATTCTAGGCACTGAAGCTGACCCTGGCCTCTTCCTTAGGTTCCCACCTTTATCATACACAACTGCTCATCTCCCCAAAGATCAGTAACAACAGCAACATGTTACACTTTTAGGAGATACATTATCACTAAAGAATAAGTAAGTAAACAAGAGTCCTGAACTCAAATACATAAAAAAGAATACTACCAACTGTTTGATCCAAGGCATTGAAACCGGTCTAGATATGCTAGTGCTAAAATGAAATGAATGGGCCTTCTGGAAAGCAATGCTGCAAATGTTTCACAAACCAGCTAAAACCTCCATGGCTCTTGAGTGGGAAACACACATTTGCAGACTTGTGCTTGCACACATACATACACGCATGCAAAAGACCAAAAGGAAGTACTGTATAAAGGTGTTATTTCTATTTCTGTTTAATAAGCTTGCTTATAGAGCAACTTTTACTTTCTCTAGGTTTTTCTGTTTTCCAATTTTCCTGTATCAGTACAAGCTACTTTAATAAGCAATAAATCCTCCTCAGAGGTGACTTACTTATAAACCCCAAAAAGATATTAATAGAGAAAGGCTGTTTTTTCTCTAACTTTTAAGATAGTTTTTGTGCTCGGTTCAGCAGCACATATACTAAAATAGTTTAAACATATACATATTTAAAACACAACGTATACATCTAACTTCAACTATAAATAGTTGCCAATCTTCTACCCCTCTGTTTGATTTCTAAAGAATTTTTAAAAGAAATCCTACACTTAATACTATTTCACCTACTATATTTCAATTTCCGTCTTTAATCAATCACAAAAAATTACAAGCCATCATGCCACCATTACATCTCATTCAAGTAATTGTACAACACTATCTAATACTCAATCCATCTGCAAAAATAAGATTTTATTTATTTTTTATTTTTTTTTTGGTACCGAGGATTGAACTCGGGTCCTTGCACTTGCAAGGCAGGTGGCAGAACCACTGAGCTAAATCCCCAGCCCAAAAATAAGATTTTAATAACACTTGACCAACAATTAAGAATATATAAATAGCCGGTTGAGGTGGTGCACACCTGTAATCCCAGCACTCGGGAGGCTGAGGCAGGAAGATTGCTGTGAGTTTGAGACCAGCCTGGGCTACATAGTGCGTTCCAGGTCAGTCTCAACTACATAGTGAGACCCTGTCTCAAAAAGCAAAAGAAAAAAGAAGATATACAAAAAATTTCAAATTGTGCCACCTCCTATCTATAACATATAAAGAAGGATAAAACCGTAAGAAAAGCGTAACAAAAAGATAAGTGAACAACAGGCTTGAATAGGTACTTCACTAAAAGGGAAATTAGACAGCCAAAGAATCTAAGGAAAATATAACAAAATGCAATTCTAAAACCCAGGCCAGTACTATGCATACCCAACAGGACAGCTAAAGTTAGACGACTGACAGTATCAAGTGTTAGGGAGGAAGTAGAGCAATGGGAAATTCAAAAACACTGCTGCAGGAAGGAGTCAACTGGAAAAAAGTTTTCTTCTAAAGCCAGATATATTCCCTCCTGTACTTTGCAGAATTATGGATCGCCTAAAAGCACAATAAGTCACTATTTCTTAGTTATCTAAGATGGTAACAAAAACAGTATTACCACATGGTCCTTGATGAAATCAACTATAATACATGTATACCTCATCATATATGCTCCCATTAATATCTGCACCATAGATAGGTGCCACGAAAGTTAAATTCTTCCAGTACTTGCGCTCCAAATCTTCATAGTCCAAATATCTTGGGGTACAATATCTACAAAAGATAAATGAAAAAGAAAAAAAACAAAACAAATGTGTAAGACAGTTTCAAAGTTCTTCCCAACATCTGATTTTAAATCAATTTCTAAACAAAACTCTATCAAAAGGAAAATACTGCAGACACCCATGCTGTTAAATCTAACAAATAAACACAACTGTATTGATCCTAGATATGAGTACTCTTTAGATTCCTAAGTAACTCCATATGATCATTTCATATAGTTTACTAGGAAGAAAAATAATTTCCTAAAAGTCAATAATACAAAGAGAAAATTAGTTTTTAAAAGTCATTGTTTTAGCTTTTAAAATATTTCTACAATCTTTAACCAGTTATACAAGAAAGTATCAGCTGGGTGTGGTGGTGTGATCCCAGAACTTGGGAGGCAGAAGGATCACTGTGAGTTCAAGGACAACCTGAGCTACACAGCAAGTCTGTCACAATTAATCAATCAATTGATAAACAACAATAACGGTTTATAGATTTATATGTAAAAGACATGGCATTCATAGAAATTTTAACAAAAGACTCCCTAAAAATTCAAAAAAAGTGCCAAGTGCAATGGCACACACCTATACTATCCCAGCACTGGGGAGCCTGAAACAGGAGGATCCTAAGTTTAAGGCCAGCCTGGACTGCACAGCAAGACCCTGTCTCAAAAAATAAAGTTTTTTAAATCCAAGAAAATAAAACTAGGCTAAGACATTGTGCAATTAGTAGATTAGCAATGTTTAATAATGGAAGGAGAAAAATGAGACCTCTAATACAGTCAGAGTGGAAGTATGAACTGGGACAACTGTTCCAAAACGTAATTTTTCAGCACATATCAAAAGTCAAAAAATATATACTCTCAAAAACAGAAATTACAATGAGCTCATCTATATAATGCAATAAATAAATATATACTCTCAACCTTAAAATCTAAAGATCCATCCTATCCACACAAAATTGTGTGCAATGACTTTGACCCAGGACGCTTGCTGAGCAGTAACTGAAAACATAAGCTAATAC